AAAAGTGCTTTGCTCTCGAAACCAAAAACTACACCCGCCACATATCCCGAAGAGTCGCCTGCACCTCCCCCCCCTCCTATGCTCTTCGCTTGACCTGAGATTCATGAGTAAACGAATGCACAGTCTTCGAAAGAAGGTACGCCGTTTCGCTGTACTCGCCGTCTCTTCCATGTGTGTCAAGTAAGAGCGGACATCTTCGAGACGAGAGCGAACCTCGCCCTCTGAAATCGTAGATTTATGCACGATTGGCCTACCGTGATCGCCTTCTTCACTGGACACGTCCTCCTCGACGTGTACGTTTGACATGTTCTCCGTTACCTCTTCCTTCTCGAGTTCTACCTCATCCCTCAAGACCTCTTCACCGCTAGCAGATGGAACGAATAATTCCATACACCCCCACGCTGTGTGCGGCTGCAGCAGACCGCTGTTGATGATCCAGGATCTACAGGTGCTGCAGCACATTTTCTGGGGGGGGTCGAATGGTGGAAAAACCTATCCCCCCTACTTTTTCACATCTGCGGGGCACCATGTTTCTGAGATTTTTTGTGTCCTTAAAGCGGGGAGTGTCTTTAAAAATGGTGTCTTTAAAGCGGGGACGACTGTACATGGAAACTCGCCGCTTTTCACGCTGCTGTTCAAATTTGAAATGCTCCCTTATTTTGCTCGCCAGTCCCTGGGGTGTGCGGGAGGACTGCTGTGATGTCCCGTACCCCGTACCTTTCATGAATACAAAGAGCGCACTCACCGGCCTTCGGGTTGTCCTCTATCCACTCGAACGACGTTTCAAGCCACGTCCTGACGTTGTCGTGGCAGGCAATGTCCACAATCGCGCTGACTACCAGCGCAACCACCAAGAACATCATTATTCTCTTGATGCGTTGGTTAACTCGCTCGTTGTCCTTCTCGACCGCTTGGCCGACTTCCTCGTCCATCGCCGCCCTCTCAGCGGTGGCATATTCGCGGTGTTGGCGCGGTAACGGCCCTTCCTTCACCACGGGTGTGGTTTTCGGGTGCGCTTTCGGCCCCCAGAACGCACGGCGACCTCGCTCTGGAAGCCCTTCCATGTGCTGGAGTCTTTCTTCTGCTCTCTACGGATGCGAAGGAAACAGCAGTAGGCCGGGTTAAGACGGGCAGAAGAGCCGACCAATCAGCCGGTTTTCATGTGTCGCCCGATCAGCAAATGTCTACCGCGGATACCGCCAAACGGAGACGTCACCGCAATCCCGCCACGATGCCAGGCCTAGCAGCTTTGTTTCATGGTCCCTGCTGTCCGGTGTGTGTACTCTAGCATGTAGAAAGTATCGTGGGGTGTCGCATCTCCAGCTGCCACGACGTCGCCAAAATAAATAATCCGGGGTCACGTGAGGTTTGTCCCCTCCCGGTACTGTTGAAATCTTACGCCTCCCCGGCCTCTATGTAAACTACGGATGTTGAATTTCGGACCGGGGGGCAAGGTTGGTTGAATGTTTACCGTGCTCTTAACGCACCGTCGCACGCCCGCCGCCCGTTGTCTACCTGGTGGTCAACTACCACACGTTGACGTTGACGTTGGGTACAAGAATCTTCTCCTTATTAAGGAAAAACACCCTGCGGTCGCCTTGAAAAAAGCAGCAGCAGTTGTGAGAGATATTTCTACTCAATCCTCTGCAGCAGGCGTACCCGCGTGCGTGGCCACCTCGTTGAAAGAGCAACCCAGCTACGACACAAGCAAACAGCAGTCCCACGCACGTTCCCTCTTAGGAGCACCTGCATGACGACGGTGGGTAAATTTCGCGAGAGCGCCAGATCGCCGGGATCGCCCAACGCGGAACGAGGGGGGTATTGGAGGGCAGAACCGCTCGGACGGGAACACAGCTTTGCCTTGAACGCAGCTCCGCGATCGCGCTTCGAGCAGGATCATCTGTCATCTTCTCCGGAGCAGGCGATTCGGGTGCATGCCCATCATCTGTCAGCAGCTCCCAAGAAGGTGTTTGCGCGGCTGCGTAAGAACAACCCTTACATTGGCTTCTTTCACTATGCGCCCAGGTGAGCCTGAGTGGGGACTACTGTAGGAGGGCCTATCTTCGCACCTACTGCAACATGGGGTCTTCGGACGCAATCATTGATGAACATGTTTTCGAGAGCGGCGTTGAGGCCGGCGAACATGTTGTGTTGCTGGCAACAAACAGGAGTTCTGTTTTCGGCGTGACCCGTAGGCTATGGTTGTGCCTCGATCGCAAAACGGAGGGGGGCATGGCTGCAGTCTCTCACGTACATCGGCACGGCGAATTGTTCTCGTTTCCACGACGTGCCAAAATGTACGAAGGCTGAAACTGCAAACATGAACATGTATTCTTCCATCGTAACGATGCATACAATGTTTGGATGCATCACATCTCGATTCAACCGGCGCATTGAAGTTGATTTGCCCGCCGAAGTAAGTCTGTCCCGCGGTACTTCGACACTATACGATTGGCCAGTGAAAGTTGTGTGTGAATCACCAACGGGGGAGCGGGCGACTGTGGGGGGGTCGCGCAGATCTCCTCTTTCATCGACCCTGATTTTGTAGACGCATGTAATTTTCCAGAATCTTAAATCTGGACATATCAATCACCTTGACATATTTTACCCACCCCGGTGGTCTAGTGGGTAGCCTCGCGGTCTTCTAAGGGCCAGGTCATAGGTCCGAGTCCCGGCAGAGTGAGTTTTTCTCTCACGAAATAAATCCTGGTCTAGGATGAAAGCGACGCGCTGCAAACCTCGGTTGTTAGTAAATCATGATCGACTTCGTAAGTCGCAGTCGCGAGGGAAGGGATTGCTGTACCCTTCTCGCGATAAAAATACCTCAGGCAGGAACCGCAGGAGGGGGTCCAGCCCCCCCCATCCTCATATGTGGCCCCGGTTGGGGCGTCTAGCTGGTAGAAGTGGAGGATAGGGGCCAGAGGGGCAGACGACAGAGTCCAATGATGGGAGAAAATATATGTATATATATTTTTCCTGTTGATAATGTTAGGAGGCAGGATCCCAAGCCTTCAATTGCAATCCTTTGCTTGAATTCTACCAGTGCTACAGATTTCCTGCCCGCCACAATCCAAACGAACCCGTTTTTCATGTTTTTGTAGCTCAACGGATTCAATGAGTACGGCTTCCGGTCGAAAATGGCGGTAAGCAAATCTAAAGCTATCGCAAGGGCTCTTATCCTAGCGATGGTATTTTACAGACTCGTAGGGAAGTTAGGGTTCGGAAAACCTCGACATCAGGCGTTTCATGTTTCTAGGTTCGCGAAGAGGAGGTCTGCACAACTACCCCGGCCCTGAAGACTCAGCCCGGGCGTCCGCAGATTGACATACATGTTGATAGCGACAGACTGGCGCAGATGGCACCTTGATTTTTCGTTAGACTCCGGCACAGGTGCATGTTTCGTATTTTTTCCTGTTCTGGACCCCAGGCCACTGCTAGAGCACGCCATGTCCAGCTCAAAATCCATTGCCCAAACAGAATCCATCACTGGAATGTTGTGCCGTTCCCCTGTCAAACCAGGGCGTTGCCAAGTGCGAGCCTTGCTTGTCGGCTTTGTGCGGGTGCGCCATGGCGAAGGCGTTGACGCACGCTCTCGTCCCAACGGCATCAGTCGCGTATCCTTCTCTCTAACCCGCAAACCGAATTGGAACTTCTTACAGACGATTATCCTCTTGCTGCATGTGTATGCACACTGCACACACCTCTTGCCGCCCTTTGCCGTTGTGAAGCATCATCGACGCCTTACCCCTGTTGTCTGGTCCTGATTCCGTGTGTTGATACTCCCCTTGCTTTGTTTGCTTTGGTTGACTCCTTTGGTCGCCCTTGGGCAGCGCCGGCAATCGCTCACGAAGCACCTATTTCGAGCAGGACATCGTGTCCATGGAGGTCATCCACCGCCAGCACGCCGTCCGCAGCAACCCTATGATCGGGAACTTACACTACGGCGAGTACGATGTTTCATAAGACGCGACCATGCATCATGCCTTCCGGAGGCATGTGCCTACTTGGGTAGACTGAGGTTTTTCGTGGAAGAGTGGAAGTTTTGGTTCCTTTCACTCGAGCTAAGTTGATTCGAGCAGATGGCGCTTGGGGGCTCGCTACGTAGGCTTTCAAACTAGAGAAATTGATGAGAACTCCTCCCTTGTATGATGATAAAGACTGCTGTAGAGCACGCGGGCGTCGGGCGTGTTTTCGGGATATTTGTTGAGATTCGAGAACACCCGTACGCCTTGGGGGCACGCGTGAATCGTACCCTACCTTGCGGTGATCGAGGGCACCTTGCTTCTTGGTATGCGTATGTACAATTATCGGTCATCCCAGAGCCGTTGGCGCCCCCAACCGTAATGAGCCTCCTCCTTACCTTTCTGCCTGCCTGCACACACACGACAAAAAAGTAACAATGGTATGCGAAGTTTTCAATGCGATAGATAACAAGGGCGGATATGTTTCTTTTTTTATTTGGTCTCGCCTGTGTATGTACCGCCGCCGCCGTTGTCTTTTTCTTCTCAGGACACGACCTCTACGGGGAGAGGTTCGAAGACTTTCAGCGCATCCTCGCGCAGCTCAAGGCCAAAGACGTGGAGAGACAAGTGCGGGCTGTCTTGGACCGACACCCTCGCCCTTTCGGAGGAGGTAAAGGGTTAGGGTAGCTGTTAGGGATAGGCGGTAAAATGGTTAGGGTTGAGGATGGGGCTAAATAGATCCCTGTGTGCTCTTGCGGCTCTCCGGTGTAGCGATCGACCTTTTCCCCCACCAGTTGTGGCCCGCTTGTTTGGTAGACGGGGTGTGTGTGCGTGTGATGATGTTACTGGTACGAACCGTGGGACGTAATTGTGTAGGTTGCAAATCTTGACAGTCACGGAAGGGGTTCGTGTACCATGGTGGCGTACGCATTTTTGCGAGACATGCTGCCTGGACGGCAGTTC